GCAGCTCATTGGCCTATGTGGGAATCGAACCGGCAACCTTGTTGTTCAGAGCACGCGTTCTAACCAACTGAGCCACCTGGCTGCCCCCAGAAACTAATTTTTAAAGTTTTGGAGTAAAATCACTTTATTAGATAGTGGTTTACTGTACAACATAGTTTTTATTTCGGTCACATGTATTTAAACAGCTTTACAAATGGCTTGCATTCTTCATTTGTAGGCTTAGCAGGTCTTAAAGGGGTTACTTAATTTGTTTTATTCTGCAGCATTTTAAGTAAGAACAATCCATACTATAGTGATACAACTTAGGGACAGTCCAGTCCAAGATCTTAAAAGAGGTCATTTCTGATGTCAATCATCTATATATTTTTTTCCAATTTTTAAATTGTAGGAAAATACGCGTAACATACAATTTCCCATCTTAACCATTTTGAGTGTACAGCTCGGTGGCATTAAGTACATTCACACTGTTGTGCAACTATCACCAGCATCCATCTCCAGAGCTTTTTTATCTTGTAAAACTGAAACTGTCCCCATTAAACACCAACTCCCCAGCCTCCTCTCCCCCAGCTTTTGGCAACCATCAGTCTACCTTGTCCCCATAAATTTGGCTACTCTAGGGACCTCACAGGAGTCAACACAGTATTTATCCTTTGGTGGCTGGCTTATTTCACTTAGCATAAGGTCCTCAAGGTTCACCCATGTGGTAGAATGTGGCAGAATCTCCTGTCTTAAGACTGAGTACTATTCCATTGTATGGAGATGCCTCATTTGCTTTCTAGTTCATCCATTAAAAACATCTACAATTTTTAATCAGTTGGGAAAGGATTCACATGTTGGTGAGTCAGCTCAATGCTCAGACAATGATGATTCCGAGACACTGCCTGCTCCGGAGAAACTTAATACTAAGATTTCCATCTGCTAAATGAAGATGGGAAATTATGTGGTCTGCACCTAACCAACTGTATTTTGCTGAACAGCAAAAAAGCCACTGAAACCACTGCCAACTGTCCACAAGTTACATGGCATCAAGCCCAGCACACATGGGACTAAGTCTCCCTAAGGCTTAAGGCCTGGACTCTGGAGTTTCAAGAGCATCTTCTAAAAGTGAAAATGATAGAGAAAGAAAATTCACAACAGAAACAGTATCTCAGAAGAAAAACAACCCTGAAGTCAAAACGCCTGGATACACAGAAAATAGAAGACAGCATAATCTAAAACAATGTAAAACCATAGCTCATGTGGAAAAAAAAAAAAACTTTAGTAAAATGACAGCACGAATAAGTAGTAATCAGGAATAGGTGGGTATGCCTTAATCCCAAGGCTGGAGGCAGAGTTAAAAGCACCGGCCTTTGCTGGCTCCCCATACAGCTGCAGGGCCTTGGGCAAGTCAGTGCCTCTAAGCCTGTTTCCCCACGTACCTGATAGGGGATTAGGTGAAGATTACATGAGATAATGTCAGCTGCTCATTATTAGCACCAACACAAAGCAAAGGTTAATCTTTAAGGGTTATGCCAGACGGATGAAAGAGTAAAGCTCGGTCTTCAGTCCTCTACTCCAGGGTTGCTCAACCTCAGGGCTGCTGACATTTGGGGCTCAATAGTTCTTTGTTGGGGATGAGGGGGGTGCTGTGCTGTGCACTGGAGGATGTTTAGCAGTATCCCTGCATTCTACCCTCCAGACACCAGTAGTACCACCACCACCAAATCAAAAATGTGTCCAGACAGCAGCAAACATCCCTCAGAAAATGTTCCTAAAATCCCATTTCAAGCCACCATCCTTAGCATCCTTGAACATAGCATGCTTCTTCTGCCCACTCTTCCCAACTCTGAGTTCTAGGGCACTCCCACTCTCTCCACAAAGAGCTCCACATCCCTTCTAGCCCGCACTGATCTCCCTGGCTTCACTTTTTAATTATTTCATCATCAGCCTCTGGCCTGCTACAATACTGGACAGAAGGAGAGCCAGGCACAGTGAGATGTCTAAATATGTCACGAAAGGCATGGAGATTACAATCTCATTGTGGATACAAAACAGACTCATGGAAAGCTGAAAACAAGGGCAGTCCTGGGGGCAGTGCAAGATTTCCTGCCAGCTGCTAGAGGATGCTGAGGCTGTGGAGGAGGCCAGGCTGGCAGCCAGGGCTCCACGATGGGGGCGGGGGAGCACCGGGGCAGCAACCGGACCAGGAAGGAGAACATGGGCATCAGTGTAAGAGCTGGACAAACCAAGAGACTAGACTGAAGGAGAAAAAAAACAAAAAACAAAAAACTAGGACGAATAAGCAATTATAGCAAGGTTACAGGATACAAGGTTGATACATAAAAGTCAATCACTTCCCTATATACTAGGAATTAACAAATAGAAATTGAAACGAAAAACAATTACCATTATATCAGAAAGAAAAAAATAAAATACTTAGGTATAAATCTAACAAAATAGTATAAGATCTATATGAGGAAAACTATCAAACTAGTGAAAGATACCAAAGAACTAAATAAACATAGAGATATTCCATGTTCATGGATAGGAAGACAATATTGTCAAGATGTCAGTTCTTCCTACTTGATCTATAGAATCAATGCAATCCCAATCAAAACCCCAGCAAGTTATTTCATGGGTATCAACAAACTGATTCTAAAGTTTATAAAGGCAAAAGACCCAGAACAGCCAACTCAATATTGAATAACAAAGTCTGAGGACTGACCCTCCCAGAGTTCAAAACTTATTACTGTAATCAAGACAGTGTGGGGGCGGCCAGTTAGCTCAGGTGGTTAGAGCGCAGACTCACAACACCAAGGTTGCCGGTTGGATTCCCACATGGGCCAAGGAGCTGTGCCCTCCACAACTAGATTGAAACAACTACTTGACTTGGAGCTGATGGGTCCTGGGAAAACACACTGTTCCCCAATAAAATTTCCTTAAAAAAAAAAAAAAAAGACAGTGTGGTACTGGCAGAAGAGACAAACAGATCAATGGAACAAAATGCAGAGCCCAAAAATAGGCCTACATAAATACAGTCACCTGATCTTAACAAAGAGTAAAGGCAATTCAATGGAGAAAGGATAGTCCTTTCAACAAATTATTCTGGAACTGGACACACACACACACACACACACACACACACACACACACACACACACACAAGAATTCTAGACACAGGCCTTAAACCCTTCACAAAAATCAACTCAAAATGGATCAGAGACCTAAATATAAAATACAAAACTATTAAAACTAGAAGATAACATAGGACAAAATCTAGATGACCTGAGGTATGGTGATGACATTTTTGATATAATACCAAAGACACAATCCATGAAAGAAATAATTGATAAGGTGGACTTCATTAAAATTTAAAACTTCTGCTCTGCAAAAGACACTATATCAAGAGAATAAGAAGACAAGCCACAAACTGGAAGAAAATATTTGCAAAACACACATCTAATATAGGACTTTTATCCAAAATATACAAAGAATTCTTAGATTTCAACAATAAGAAAGTGAACAACCTGATTAAAAAATAGGCAAAAGACCTAAATACACACCTCACCAAAGATATACAAATGACAAGCACGTGAAAAGTTGCTCAACATCACATGGGAATTACAAATTAAAATGGTGAGATGCCACTATACATGTTAGAACGGCCAAAATCCAGAACAGTGACACCAAATGCGGGAAAAGATGTGGAGCAACAGGAACTGGCATTCACTGCTGGTGGGAATGCAAAATGGTGCAGTCGCTTGGGAAGACAGTGTGGCAGCTTCTTACAAAACTAAACAAGCTTTTACCATGACCTGGCAATCGCGCTCCATTGTATTTTCCCAAAGGAGTTGCAAATGTATGTCCAACAAAAAAGCTGCACATGGATGTTTACAGCAGCTTTATTCATAATCACCAAAACCTGGGAACAACTAAGATGAGAATTAACGTTTTGGTCAGAGTTTCATTGTTAAAGAAGTTTTATTAGGCAATTCAGGGATCATCTAAAAACACCTTTGGTTTTTTCTCTGCTTCCTACCAACTGCCTTTTGACTCTCACTGCTCATAAGTGTATCTGTAAGAGAGGTCAGAGGCACAAAAAGGAAGTAAAGCTCGGTTAATTTTGCTGCATTTGCGACTCTGGTGAAAGAATTGGGCACAGAAACGGAATCAAATGACTGAAATTGAATTTGGGGATTATCGGTGGCAGCCAGCCAGCCAGCCAGAGGCTACATACTGCATTCAACCTGGTCAGCCATTTAAAATTAGCAGAAAAAGACAACACACTTTGTAAACGTCTAACAAGAAAGACGCACACTAACTGTTTACATGGTTATCTCATGGGAGACCAGTGGCAACAAAAAATCAACGGCGTCTTTATGTTTTCTTGCTAAGTGTGAATATGTACACACATACATTTCTTGTAATTTAAATTTATGATTAAATTTTTTTAACCTTAAAAGAGAAAGGAATGTTTTACTTTATACTCTCAGTTATTTTTGGAGCCACACCTCCTAACTTTGGCTAGTAACACGCCTACACGTCTGAACAGTGTTGGTGTGGAATGCGCAAACGTTATCCCTTCACCACTAACAAATAACTCTTTCAGAAAGGAAAAAAAAAATCAAATCATGGACTCGAGGAACTAGAAGTAAAAGTTACCAAGTGATTTCTTTTTTTTAAGCCAACCATAACACCCCCCTCCTTCATTTAAGTCCATAAACCGCAAAGGGACTTTCTAGACATATTTTAAGCTTCTGTACCAAAAAAAAAAATTGTATTTTGTAATAGAACGGTATTGTTCTCCTTAGAAAAGGCTTGTTTTCCCATAAAAACGAATTTCTTTTCTTTTCAAAAGCCTGCCTTTCGGAAGATCTTGGGCAGCCCCGGGCCCCTTCGCCGGATTTGGTTTGGATTTCACAAGAGTTCGGGAAGGGGGCTTTCGCCCGCGGAAGCGCCCCCGCCCGGCCAGCGTCACCTGACCGCGTCCACCCTGCCCACCCGCCTGCCCCGACACGGACCTGATGACACTGATGTGAAACTGGTCCTCGCGAAGGCTCCGCCAGGCGCCCGGCAGGAACTCCTTGCACCACAGATAGGCCCTGCGCCGCGTCCGGGGCTCGGGCTCCTCGTCGGCCGGCGGCGGGGGCGGGGGCAGGGGCAGCAGCGGGAGCGGCGGCGGGGGCAGTGCGAGCGGCGGCTGCCGGCCACCCAGAGGCTTGGGCTCGAGGTTGCTGGCGGCGTCGCGTTGCTGCCCCACTCCGGGGGCCGGGGCCGCGCTGCCGCCGCCGCAACTCAGCAGCAGCCCGAGCGGCGAGGGCTCCGTCTCGTTCCCGTTGCAGAACTTGGTTTTCATGCCGGGCAGGCGTTCGAGGAGGCGCGGACGGCCGCAGCGCGCGAGGGCGAGGCTCAGGGTCCCGCCGAGTGCCCCCCTCACGGAGGCCGGGCGCGGAGGCTGCTCGTCGGCTTGCTGACCGGCCGGCCGGGGGCGGTGGCCGCGGTTGGGGGCGCGCCGGGACGACACGGGGCGGCGGTGGCGGCGCGGGAACAGCGGAAGGCGGACGGTAGCGGCAGCTGCGACGACACTCTGCTGGCCGCGCTTGCCCGGCGCTCGCTCCTATACCGCCGCCGCACGAAGAACGCCGCCCACGTCACAGCCCGCCCCCGCGCTCGCTGCTGATTGGCCGGCCCGGAGCGTCACAACCGCCACCGCCCATGCCACGCCGTCTCTCTATTGGCTGCGGCGCCGCCCCCCATTCCGAGCGCCGTTGCCTCGGGAGCGGGGGCGGGGCGGGGGCGGAGCGGGAGGCGGGGCTTCGAGCCAGAGGCCTGGGTCGTGAGGATGGAGAGGCGTGTGCGAGGCACCAGGGCCCCGGGAGAGAGAGCGGGGGTGGCAGAGGCAGCAGGGGCTGCGGGACGGCCCCTGTGCTTTGGGGGACCCCGGGCTTGGCTTTGGGGTCCTAAACTGTCTTTGGACTCCTCGGTCCCCCAGGATGTCGGAGACGGGGGCCGGGCTTGGGGGCAGGCCGGAAGCTTGTGCCTGGAGGCTGGCTTCTCTTTCCTCCTGAGCTTGGGGCGAGGCACCTCCGTCTGCAGCACCGTGGGTGTGTTTTTATAACATTTCCCAGCACCGGGCCAGCTCCGTGCGATGCGCGGCCAGGCCCCCTCCAGTCCACAGCTGGAGGAATGATGGTCCCGGGTCAGAACCCAAGGCCCGAAAGGCCGCACACCAGGCCCAGCCCTCTGAGGCCTCCCGCAGCCTCAGTTTCCCTGTCCGTGGTGCTGAGGACGCCGGGGCCTAGATGCTCTGAGCGGACCGGCGGCATCCCGCAGCGGGGCCGCCACAGCCGCCGGTAGCACGGGCCAAAGGTGAGTGCCACGGGGCTGCAGGCTTTGTGGACGCCGCCCCGCCCCCGCCCCGCGCAGGAGGCAGCCGCGTGACTGTGACTAACACACCTTTGCCCGCGGAAGGGGGCGAGGCCTCGCCCCCTGCTCTCGTGTGCCACACATCGCTCTGTGTCCCTCACTCCTCTTTAACCCTGCCGCCCCAATCCTTTCTGGAAGTAAGTGGGGATACAGATGAATGTAAAAATACAGGTCCTACTTTACGGGACGAGGTTTCCCTGGCTGCATAGAAAATTCAGTTCCTGGCGCACAGGAAATGGCTTCCGTGTGGGGATTTCACAGCCTCCGGGAAGCGAAAAATCTCTTTTTAGATAGCGTGTACTTGGCTGAACTTGCTCCAAGAAAAATGGTCTTATTGAACAAAAGGATTATAGTGAAAGGGGGCTTTTGACAATACAGCTGTGGAGGTGGGCCCAGACATTGCACTGGAGGGAGCTGGGAGAGGCCCAGGCCCTTAGGAGGGAGGGGAGAAGGGAGCCCCACTGGATGTTTGAAAAGCTGAGATATCAAAGTCTCCACTCAGGCCATTTAGATAAGGTCGCCAAGGACTTTGTCTAAAAATACCAGCCCGTAGGGAGGTGGGGCCTGTCTACTGCCTGCCCAGGTGTCAGGCCCTTTGTCCCACTGTCCACTGGCACCAGCCTGGTAATCTCAGAGGAATGCCAAAAATCTGGCCAGGAGGAAGGGGCACTAGAAGTAAGGGTTGGGCCTCTACCATTGGCAATAACTCTGGCGTCTGCTGGATTGGGCTGTTAGAACCCACAGGCACTTTTATGGAACTGCAGTTCCCTGTGGGAGTAAGAGGTTGCCTCATTAAAGATGTTGGAAAAGTGTTATCTGTTATTGCTTCTATTTAACAGATGTGGACACTGAGTACTGCAGAGGCTGAAGTCCCTTGGCTAAGAGAGGGGCAAGGCGGGCAGGTGTCCTGCTCCTTTGTGTGAAGGGCATTGCTTCCATAGAGATACAAAACTTCCCTTCCTCCCTTCCAGCCCAGCGGAAGTCCTGAAGGTCTGGGGCCACCCCTAGTGCTGGGGCAAAACCACCAGGGCTTGAGACTGGGGGAGCTTGGTATATAGTAATGCTAAAAAACTGGTTTTACATGAAAAAAGACTCATTCTGCTCTGAGCAGTGAGGGGAGCCTCCCCAGGGGGTGTTTTAGCAGGGCTTTGAAAGGCTGAGATGGCATTAACCAGGCTGACAAGAGCCCCCTGCTGTGTCCCTCTGCCTCTAGCATAATAGTACCTACTTTCCAGAGGCAACAGTCACACAGCAGGTACTCAGGAAAAGTGCCAGGCATATACTACTCCAAAAAGAGAAACCCAGAGGGATAAATATGCTTAAAACCCTTAAGCTAGCAACCCCATCCACAAGACTCTCCCAAGAAAAGAAATTACCAGAAGCAAAAAGCCCCATACAGAAAACTGTCCATTCCATGTTATCTCTAGAGAAAGCTGGAAATAACCTAAATGTTTGTTCAGCGCCCTGTGCTTGATTATAGAGGATGGTGGTGTTATCAGACAGGAGTTAAAGGTGGCCAGGTTGAGGTTGGTAGGAAGGGTTCATTTTCGACACATTTCTCAAATGCCAGGTGCCATAGGGCTTGGCAGCACTGTGTCAATGATAGAACGCCCAAACCTATAGAAAACTTTTCCAAGAATTGATTTGAGCCAAATTTTTGAGGACTTGCCCAGAAGCAAGATCTCAACAGATTGGGAAAATGCTCCAGAGAATGGGCAGCTCTGCAACTCATTTTATATGTTTAGAATCAAAGGAGAAAATGTAAGGAAGGTTACATGAAATCCATTGGTGGTAGATTAGGGAGGCGGGAGAAAGCAAAGAGGGAAAATCTCTAGGATTGGGTAAAAAGCAAAACGGAGCGACACATACTTCTCTTGCATGGTTGGGTACAGGATAGTTAACGTGTAACATTTCCGGCACACAGAGATGGTATACGGGCAACAAGGTAACGATGAAGGGTTCCGGGGTCCTGTGCTCTGGTGCTCTTGTGCTCTGGTGCAGGCGGTTGTGCCCGCGAGGAATCTGGGAAAGAAAATGACCCTGACAGTTCAAAGGTGTGTTATCCGCGATGCATGAGAACAACGGACTCACTTAAGGTAAAGCCTGACCTTTGCTAAGGAAGCTATTGGCCTGGACTATCTGCCATGACCTGCCCTGTTAGGAGTTTGTGATCAGACCATCTTGTGTGGTTACGTCCAGCCACTGAGCTTGTCAGGCCCGCATGTGGCCCCCTGAGCTTGTCAGGTCTACTTGGTTGCCCACCCCACCCCCCACTCCAGCCCCCCCTTCAGTCTCAACTGGATAGGGAGGAAAACAGCCATGCTTGGCTCCTGCTGCAATCTGGAATAGTAACATTGCCCCCCACCCCTGCACCCTTGCCTCTCCCCTCCCCTTCCCTTGCTTGTTTATTGTGTATTGTCTGTCTCCCCACCAGACTGGAACCCCCAGGGAGTGGGGACCTTGAGCATCTTGTTCACCACAGCGCCCAGCAGGCCCTGAGGCTTGGAGACACAGAAATATTTGCTGAATGGATGCCTTTGGGCTGAGCCTCAGTTTCCTCAACTGTAAGATGGGGGTTCCAATCCACAGGGCACAGGGTTGTGGTGAGGGGTGATTGAGAGGATGTATGCAAAGCACGCAGTGAACAGGCGCCCTGCCAGCAGCTGGCATTCAGTCACGAATAATGCACACACTGGCAGCAGCTCAGCAGGAAGACAACGTCCTACAAGAAAAAAGTTGAAACTGGAATGTATACTCTGATGGCCAGAATGTCAACATTTGGGCACAAGTGGAAAAGGCTCAAAGAGAAATTTGCTATGGTAGGTACTGACTGGTGCTGGGGAGAGGGGGTTCCTTACAAAATGTTTTCTTCTGGGACATAAGAGAAATGTTTCCCAAAGCTCTTTGATTCATGCTAAATTCTGAGAGCAGACACAGGGTGCAGGTGGTGAGTCTTTGGAGGGGTAGGAGTGGAGATTGGGAAGTCCCCTTCCTGCCCCTGGCATTCCTGCAGACTGGCTCGTTTGATCTGGCCTGAGGGGATCCCCAGGGTCACTGGTAGACCAGGATCCTCCCTAGGGCACAGAGAGGTCCACCCATGAGCCCAGCTCTGCCACCAACTCCAACCACAAGCTCTGTTCCAAGAAAGGGCTTTGTGAGTCTGCCTCCCCCACCTGGTAGGAGCAGGCCCTGTGCCCAGCCCTTTACTGGAATCCAGGATCTCTGAACTTTCACAACCAGCAGGGATGTGAGTGTAATTAGCACTTCATGTTTCACTTGAGAAGGCTGAACTTCACTAGGAGGTGAAACCATTTGTCCAAAGCTAGCAAGGACAGAAGGGGACCCACCCAGGACTCCTCCCTCTGAATGCAGGGGAGTCTTTCTTGCCCTTATGCACCAAAAGTACCTTTAGCCCATAGAGGGGTTCACTAGACGGTTCTTGGCACAGTGGGGTTCACTAGAGGACTGGAGAAGCTGTGCCCTGGCTGGGCTGCGCTCATGACCAGGCGCTCCTACTTCAGCTCTGAGCTTTAAAATATTGATGTGAATGCAGACAGGCCAATGGGCTGAAATCCTCCATGCTAAAGATTGGGTTACAGCCCCGCCAGCAGAGTGACATGGATCTGGGCCCTTCCCCGAGTGACCGGGTTTGGCCGCACCCCAGGATGCTCAGTCATCTAAGCTGGAGGCTGAACAGGTCCAGCAGAGAGATTCCTGGAAGTCTCTGAGCCCAAGTGTGGTTTTATTCAGTGGCCTCCTACCATCTACCCAGCCTCAGTGCCTCGGGGCCCCAGGTGGGGCCTATGGCCCAGAGGGTTTAATGAAAGCAGGTGACTTGAAGGCCCACATGTCATGTCTGGCGGGTGGATGGGACAGGCCCTCCCTCATTTGCAGGGATCCTGAGTACAACATTAAGGGTAAAAACCTGTCTTTGGTCGGAACATGGCAGGCGTCGGCGACGCAGCCACCCCGGGAGAAGGCAGCGGGGGCGGTGCGGATGGCCGGGAGCCGGAAGGCCGCGGCCAGGCAGAGCAGCCGGGCGGCAGCGGTCACGGGTCCCCGCCGGCGCCTCAGCACACGGAGACGCTGGGCTTCTAAACGAGAGCGACCGGCGGCGGGAGCGGCGCTGCGGCCGCGCAGAGCTTTCATTGTTGAGGTTCCTCCGTGTTGAACAAGAGGGAACGTCCTTGAACATAATGAGGCCAAGTATACAGAAAGAAGAGAAAGAGTATACACTTGTATGCGAATACCGAGAGAACTGGAAAAGCTGATGGTTTTTGGAATGCATTTCTGTGCCTGGATGCATTTCTGTATGTGTTCACCCTGCTTCCTTTAAGAGTTTTCCTGGCACTCTTCAGGCTCTTCACTCTGCCTTGCTACGGCTTAAGGGACAGACGTCTGCTTCAGCCTGCCCAGGTATGTGACGTTTTGAAGGGTGTCATTTTGGTAATCTGCTATTTTATGATGCACTATGTCGACTACTCCATGATGCATCACCTAATAAGGGGGCAGTCGGTCATCAAGCTCTACATCATCTACAACATGCTCGAGGTAGCAGATCGTCTGTTTTCATCATTTGGTCAAGATATATTAGATGCTCTCTATTGGACAGCAACTGAGCCTAAAGAAAGAAAAAGAGCCCACATTGGGGTGATTCCTCACTTTTTCATGGCTGTTCTCTATGTCTTTTTGCATGCAATTCTTTTTTTTTTTTTTTTAGCTGAGCCATCCTGCCACCGGTTGGCTGCTCAGCTCAGGCTGGACTCGAACTGCTGTTGCTCAGAGCTCAAACTCTTGAGCGAGCTCTTAACCAACTGAGCCACTCGGCCGGCCCTGCATGCAATTCTTATAATGGTTCAAGCAACAACTCTCAACGTAGCTTTTAACTCACACAACAAGTCCCTGCTTACTATCATTCTGTCTAATAATTTTGTTGAAATTAAAGGAAGTGTTTTCAAGAAGTTTGAAAAGAACAATCTTTTTCAAATGTCAAATAGCGATATTAAGGAATGATTCACAAATTATGTGCTTTTGCTAATAGTGTGTCTAAGAAACATGGAACAGTTTTCTTGGAACCCAGATCATCTCTGGGTGTAATTTCCAGATGTCTATATGGTGATTACATCAGAAATTGCTGTGGATATTGTAAAACATGCCTTTATCACCAAGTTCAATGACATTACTGCAGATGTCTACAGTGAATATAGAGCCAGCCTTGCTTTTGACCTTGTTAGCAGTCGACAGAAAAATGCATATACTGATTACAGCGACTCCGTGGCACGGAGGATGGGGTTTATTCCTCTTCCACTAGCTGTTTTACTCATCAGAGTTGTAACAAGCTCAATTAAAGTGCAAGGAATCCTGTCTTATGCCTGTGTCATACTCTTCTATTTTGGGTTGATGTCCCTGAAAGTACTTAATAGCATTGTGCTATTGGGAAAATCATGCCAAGATGTGAAGGAAGCCGAAATGGAAGAGACATTGTTTGACCATCCCCCCACCAGCTCGCCCAGCAAATCCCAGATCAAGTGTAAACCCTCTCAAGAAGAAAACCTGTTTGCCTCAGTCACCAGCCAGCCTACCTACCAAAAGGAAAGTATAATACCATTACTTGTGACAAGCAATTCTGACCAGTTTCTGACAACTCCAGATGGAGATGAGAAGGACATTACACAGGAAAACTCTGTATTAAAACACAGGTCCTCAAAGAAAGATTTGTTGGAGATAGACGGGTTCACAATTTGCAGAAACCGAATTGACTGAGCTCCGCAGCTCTGTGTGCCCAATGCCACGTCCTGGGACAGCCAAGCTGTGCTACCAGGACAGACACATACTCAAAGGGGCACTGAAATATTTATTTTAAAACTTAAATTATTAATGGAAAGCAATTCTTAGTATCTTCCTTCCAGTAATGTGGTCTGGCTGAAGGTCAGGTCACGGAACAGCAGCGACCTGCAGTCCTGACTTCGGGAGCTCCTCCTGCTTGGAGAAGCCGTGGCGTCACTTCCGGGCCCGACGAGAACAACCTCAGAGCCACTTTTGCTCTGTCAGTCTGTGCTTCCAGAACGTCGTCGCACTTTGCCTCGCAGTCCCGTCAGTATAAGAATATATACGAGGGAACCTGTGAGCCTTTCATCATGACATCACCTTCCCTGTCTCATACTATTTTCACAAACAGTTTTCAAATTCCACTTCATCTGTCAAAGCATTTAAAAAAAATAATTAACGTAAATGTCCTTACCACCACAATAATCCTTGAAGATGTATCTGAATTAATCAGAATAAGGGTACCTTAAATAAGACCTGATGACTAGCAGCATTTTATAGAAAAAAGCCCTAAGCCAGTTTGTCTATTTACAGAATATTAATGAATGAAGGTTAGGCATCACTGGGAAAATGTTTCATAATTTTTCAGTTTACTCTTTAAAGCAAAATGTGAGCTGTGTATTATTTAATTGCAGTGCATAAAATAGAAATTCCCTTACAGAAAGGTACTTTCTATATTGAAAAAGCAGAGCAGTGTTAACATTAATGTAGTTAACTGGTTTCACTTTAAAACTAATTCCTTCATAAATTGTTACAGTTAACAGGATTTGGTGTTAAATAGGCTGAAAATTGTCACTGTACAAAATTCAAAGGTGTCAACTGTAACTGGGCTTTTTTTTAAGGAACAGTTTTAAAGTAAGTATCCTAAGTGTACTGGACAGGGTCCTCTTGCTTGGGCTTATAAAATGCATTGTGTTTTTGTTTGGAGTGTCAGTGGGGCAGGGTCTGTGTCCTGTGGAAGAGTGCATGGGGAGGCGTGACTGTGGGTGTGCTTGTGCTTGGGGTGGGAGGAGAAAGTAAAGGGGTGTTTGGGGCCTGTGGGGTGGCCATCTGGCTGTGGGCAGGTGTCTGTGTGCGGATGTTGGGAACAACAACCAAAAGGTGCTTTTTGGTTTTGTTTGAGATATCAGAAGTACACGTCTGCTTAATCGCTGGTTGTGGCCTGCATCATAGGACAGATTGTTTTCCACTTTTTTTCTTGAGAAACCTTTCTGCATTTTTATAAAAATTTTACATCTAATTTTAGAGTGTCCAGATGTCACTGTTAACTGATACTTCCTTTGATGTTTTTATTTTGAAGTTCAGCTTCTGTGCAGCTATTTTGGGCATATGATATTCAGAGGTAAATTTTAGGTGATTTGTCTGTTCCCTGGGTGAAATGTAAAGCAAGCTTTAATGCATTGGCTTCTTCATTTGAAATACAAAAGTGAATTTTAATGTTTCGCATTAACTCGAGAAATCTGAAGGTTAATGTTCACATAGGGTAAAAGAGGGAACTGTACTACAGAAATGCTTTTGTGAGACCTTGCGGTATTTTAAGTTAAAAATTTAAGTTAAAAGACTTCATTGTTTTGTGCATGTTTCAGTGAAGCCCCATTTTAGAAAATTTTGCCCTCATCTTCTCTACCTAAAAGGAACAGTGTCCACGGTGAATGAGAATGGTTTTGGGGAAAACTTTGCCAAACATAGCCCTAATCAGAGCAAGAATATGACGTGGGTATATCTTTCAGTTCAGCTTGGGTTACTCTGTTATTGTGCCACCACTCTCGAACATGGTCGTTTCCTTTGCAAAATATATTGGGAGTTCAGAATGATATTCATGTCTTCTGTTAAAATGGCATTCAGTACTAATTTTATAAGTGCATCTTGTGTGAAACTCAATAAATTCAATTTTGTAATCTTTTAAAAAAACAAAAACAAAAAAACCCTGTCTTTGGAGCTCATGCCTCAACCCACTGTGTGATCTTTGAGGAAAAAGTGAAGAAATGACATGGGGTTGCTATAGTCAAGCTGCTAAATTACTAAAATCAAGTAGTTTGAGGCATGAGGAAATGATTCTGTTCTTGCTTTAACTAGCCTGAGAACTTAAACGTTTGAGTTTTTCAGTTGTGCATCAATGACTGGAGATTTCTATAAATCCTATATCCAACTCTCTGAAGGACTAAGGAGAGAGTGTTCACTGTCCAGACCACCTGACACCCAGTATCCAGACCACAGGTCATCTAGAGGAACCATCTTGGACCAGTCCAGAGGCTAAGAAGGCAGGACTGATTCTTCTCAAGAATGTGGAATGAGAACTCTCGGCTTTTCTCTCTTCTTCGGAACACTGGGTATTACCTAGTTGTGTTTCCAGTTTGTAAATCCTAAGACGCTTGAATGAATCTTTATCATTTTTAATTGTAGTGAAGCCTCCTGATTCATTTATGCTCTGGCAACACCTTGGACAAGCCACCTGCCTGTCAGCCAAATGAAGATAGTCATTCCTACCCTACAGGGTTGTTGGGGGAGTCACTGACACCCACAGGGAAATGGCTACGCACAGAGTCAGGGCCCCATCAAGGGTAGCTGTGTACTGACTGTTAGTTGAATTCTCAGAGGCTGGAACACAGCAGCCGTCGCCTGTTATGAATAAGGGTGGCCATGCAGCAACTCATTGTAAGTGCCACTGGGAGAGCCGGTGGTAAGTGCCTGTAGTAGGTCTGGCCATTGCAGGGCCTCCCAGACGTCTAACAGGGCCTGGGGCCTTTTCCACTCTTTCAGGTTCCTGGCACTTTCAAAAATGAAGACATACCTCAACAGGATTATCAAAACTGGGGCATATTTGAAACACTTACATTGAACAAATTGATGCTTTTAACATACATGCAAATAGTCCCACACAAGATAATTTTACTGCTCACAAGCTACTAGAGGGAAGGGGTATGGTGTGAGGAACATCTTTCAAGTCTGACCATGTGTCTGTGATGATCTGATTATCCTTATTTAGAGATGACACCAAAAAGCGAAACCCGAAGGCCCTAGGGGCATGTGAGTCCCTCCTGGGGCCCCCATGGTACACCCTGGGCCACGGCCATCCATCTACTAGAAGTGACCCCTAGGGCCCCCAGCATGCATTTCCTGTGTCCCCATGGCTGATGTTTTAAAACGCACCTTCTGAACTCTCTTTCCAAATTTGGTGAAAACCCGTCTTATGGTTTTGTGCCCTCCATGCGTTACGTTTGTAATACAATAAATGCATTTTTTAAAAGATCCCGGTTATGATGGAAGTCACACCTCTGGGCTGGGGGTCAGGAAACCTGGGTTCGGGCACTGAACCTCTCTGGGCTTCTTGCTCCTCAGTCATCCCTGGGCCCTGCAGGCTTGACTTGTACCAGGTGGCCTTGGGGTGGCTCTCCTTTCTGTGGGGAACAACTAGCAGGACCCGAGGACACCTTGCAGGTGGGTCAACAGGTCTAGACCCAGACCAGAGTAAGTGGCTCTGCTTACCCAAGATGCCATGGCTGCCACGGGGCCATCCCCACTCCCTATTCTCGCAGCCCAGGGTTTGCTCCTACATCCTGGGAGGGTCTCTCCTCCTAGGGTCACTTTCCATCCCTAGCCTGGATGCCACCCCACCCTGGCCCTCTGTGTGACCTTGGCTGGTCCCAGAGCTTCTAAGAACGCCATCTAACAGGGCAGAAGGGGAGGGGTGGCGGTAGGGAGGGTGTAAGGGGAATGATGGGAAAGGGAAGAGGCCACCTTAGAAGATCCTCTAGGTCCTGGGAGGCTGTGGCCTGACCACACCCCTCACCTTCCCCCCACATCCTGGGGCGAAAGGAATCCAGGCCTACAGGATTCCACTTCTCCCCTCTCAGTGCTCAGAGCTGGCTCAGGCCAAGGGGCAGGTGGGGGAGGGGAGAGAAGGGGCAGATCAGGGGGAGGTGGGCAGAGCCGACTCAGATAGGTCCAGGGGCCCCAGACCTCCCTCAGCAGCAGGGCCACTGGGGAGCATCTCAGCTTGACCACTGTCAACTGTGGGGCCTCCATGCTCTACAAACCTGTCCCCATCACCTATCAGTTGGGACCTGGTGGGGGTCGCCCCCCAAATGTTCTGTTGGGGGCAGCTGAAGGCTTTACAGTTTTCCTTCGACAGGCTTGATAAAGCTGCTTTTGCAATCAGAGCTTATATTTGCAGTGGGACTACCAAGGAACCACCTGAGACAGCCAGCGGCTAGTGACCCGGCAACGTTCCCCATTCCCCTGCAAGGTTCCTCATTCTCCGAGGTAGGACTAATTCTGGTTGCAACGCTGGATCAGCAGCACACACACCCCCCCCTCACCCCCCCCACCCCCGCCCAGAAGTCAGAGCCAGAGGCCAAGGACCCACACAGCCCTCCCCCAAAGCCCCGTGCCCTTGGGGCTCAGGCTGTAAGTCCCCGGCTCCCCTCCCGTCCTGGCTGTCTCCATCTACTGTCCTCAGTCTCTCTCCCTCCTTCAGTGCTTGCACATCTTAGGTGCTCAACGAATGTTTAAATGAATGAATGAGTGAACTGAGGTTGTGGCACCCCGCGGCCTGAGTTCTAATCCCAGTTCTACCACTTATTTGCTATGAGGCTCTGGACAGGTGATTATTCTCTCTGTGCCTCTGCTCCTTGCCCGTAAAATGGGAATATATGAGTCCCTACCTCAGATGGTTGTTAGAAGGATTTTTTGAAAACCAAAATTCAACTGAGTAAATTCTTAAATTAAATTAGCTTTATTAAGTGATTTGAGTCACTATAGTCAAGCCAACAAAAATTGGAGTTGGCTGAAACATGAGGAAAACGATTGTATTTTACATTAGCCTGGGAACTGAACTTTTGAACTTTTCAGTTGTGCCTCAAAGCATACATCTGTGAATGAAAAGGGCAGTACAGTAGACCTGGCAAGCTCAGGGGGCCACATGTGGGCCTGACAAGCTCAGTGGCCGGAAGTAACCACACAAGATGGTCTGATCACAAATTCCTAACGGGGCAGGTCATGGCAGATAGTCCAGGCCAATAGCTTCCTTAGCAAAGGTCAGGCTTTACCTTAAGTGAGTCCGTTGTTCTCATGCATCGCGGATAACACACCTTTGAACTGTCAGAGTCATTTTCTTTCCCAGACCCTTCACGGGCACAACCGCCTGCACCAGAGCACAAGAGCACCAGAGCACAGGACCCCGGAACCCCTCATCGTTACCTTGTTGCCCGCATACCATCTCTGTGTGCCGGAAATGTTACACGTTAACTATCCTGTACCCAACCACGCAAGAGAAGTATGTGTCCCTCCGTTTTGCTTTTTACCCAATCCTAGAGATTTTCCCTCTTTGCTTTCTCCCGCCTCCCTAATCTACCACCAATGGATTTCATGTAACCTTCCTTACATTTTCTCCTTTGATTCTAAACATATAAAATGAGTTGCAGAGCTGCCCATTCTCCAGAGCATTTCCCCAGTCTGTTGAGATCTTGCTTCTGGGCAAGTCCTCAAAAATTTGGCTGAAATAAATTATTGCAAAAGTTTTCTATGCATAAGGAATATAGTCAATAATATTGTAATATGGGTATAAGACTTAGTGGGGTGATCACTTTGTAAGGTATATAAATGTCTAATCACTATGTTTTGTACACCTGAAACTAATATTGTATGTCAATGGTAATTGAGAAATAAATTTTTTTAAAAATTTAGGTTTAGACATTCTTTGGTCAACAAATCTTACAGATGACCCTCTGAAGAATTTAGAAACGGATGTCCAGGCCACCAGGCATCTAGAGGACCATCTCGGATCATTCCAGAGGCTAAGAAGGTAGGACTGATTCTTCCCAAGAATGTGTTTTTTACCATAAAAACTCTCAACTTTTCTTCGGAAGACCCTGGTGCTGCCTGGTAGTGTTTCTCGAATTGCAGTTTGCTTAAGACCCTTGAATGTAACCTTGTCGTTTAATTCTGGTGAAGCCCCCTGATTCATTCATGCTCAGTCGACAGATCCATGATCGGACAGCATTCCATCCAGCAACTAGAAGGAAACTCCAAGGAGTTGTATAAAATGGGAGGCTTTTATAGGCGGGAAGAGGGTGGGAATAAGAAGTTAAAAGAGTGGATTATTTCAGGCAGAGTGTGGGGGGATGGGAGGGCGGTTCTTCTCAGGCAGATGACCTCATAAGTGCTGATCAGGAAATTTCAGGCTGATTGCTTGAAAATTACATTCCTGGGAGAGGCTGAAATTGCAGTTAGGTTAGTTATTAAGTTTTAGTTTGGTGACGTGGCTTAGCAAAAGTGACTCTATTTGGCCTTTTTTAAAAAATAGATTAAGTAAGGCATTGGCAATAGTTCCAAGGTGCCTGGTTCCCTGAATCACCACCCGGAAGGCGACCTGCCCACCAATTGAGCTTAGACCAAAGCCTGGCCCATAGCCAGAGTGTTCAAAGAAAAAAACCACTGTGCCCCAGCCTTGTGTCATCACACCTACTGACATGACCCAGGTAACAGCACCTGGCCTCTGTATTCTTGACTTCTCACCAGTGCTTTCTTTTCTTCCACAGATGCCAGGTGCCATGCACTGTATTTTCTCAACACCAGAAATAGCCCTGCCCTCAGATTTTTTCAAGCATGCCACTTTGGGTCCACCACATCCCATCCTGTGAGCTTAGGACTGTCAACTAGGACCCTCCCTGGCTACAGTTTTCTGACTCCTTTCAGCCTTCCACTCATGGGCTTAGCAGTTTCTCCCCTCCAGCCTTCACTTCTCCCCATCTCTAGTGTAGGTTGCACCTCCTCATCAACAAGATTGCCCCTCCTGGCAGAGACACTATAAGTACTTTCACTATCAGGGCACACATTTCCTTCCTGGGCACACAGGAAAGCCACATTTCCCCGCGCGCTCCCCGCCCCCCAATCCCTTTGCAATAGGACCATGTGATGTGACTCCTTACGTAGGTCACTTTTCCCTCCTGGGAGGAGCTGTCTTCCCACTTCCCTTGTCTCTGACCAGCAGCAAAGGATCCAAGGGCAGAAGCCCGGATAGCAGCACTAGTTCCAAAGGGGCCTGGGTCCCTGGATCACCACCTGGAAGGTGACCTGTCCACCACATGACGGGACTAAGACATCAACAGAAGTAATACAGGTCCCTTCAGGACCAAGGAGATGAAATACCTGGGGTGCCTTCCCCACACTCCCTTCCCCTTCCATGGTGACCTAGGGAGCTGCAAGGTGAAGACCACAGCATCACGAGAAGAAGGGAGCCTGAATCCTAGGGTTACCGCGTGGAGGACAGTTGACAGAGCAGGAACACATGCAAGATTTTGTGTGAGCCAGAAGCAAAGCTTTATGGTGTTTAGCTGCTGCGATCTGGGGGCTCTTTGTTATAGCAGCTGGCCTTGCTGGCCTTCCTCCATTGTAGTCACCTAGCAAAGCCCCATCCTAGGTGAACCCAACTGGCTCATTTTACTTGCCCTTCTCAACTGCCACTGAAAAGCTGAATGTTCCTAAAGAACATCCTATAACAGGTTCAACTGGTTAGATGATCAACTTGACTGTCTTAAACATTTTTTTATTATTATTATACTTTATTGGGGAACAGTGTGTTTTTCCCAGCCAATCAGCTCTAAGTCTGTCTTTCAATTTTTTTTTTTAAGATTTTATTGGAAATTGGGGGAGGGAAACAGTGTTGGGGATTGGGGAAGGGGAACGGCCAAGTTGTTGTCCTTCGGTCTTAGTTGTGGAGGGTGCCGCTAGCTCAGCTCCGAGTCCAGTTGCCATCTGGCTGCCCATCAGCAGCTCATGGCTGCTCAGCTCAAGGTGCCGTGTTCAATCTTAGTCACGGGTGAGCATAGCCCACCATCCCATGTGGGAGTCGAACCAGCAACTTTGATGTTAGGAGCACGGCTATCACCAGCAGAGCCATCCTGCCACCTGTTGGCAGCTCAGCAGCAGCTCAGCTCTGGCACAGCTCACTGGGTCATGTGGGAATCAAACCAGCGACCTTATTGCTTAGAGCACAAGCTCTAACCAACTGAGCCACCTGGCCACCCCTTAAACATTTTTTTTCTTTTCTTTTTTTTAGTTGAGCCATCCTGCCACCTCTTGGTGGCTCAGTGGCAGCTCAGCCTGGGCCAGGAGTCGAACCAGCGACCCTGTTGCTCAGAGCTTGCACTCTTGAGCTAGCTCTTTTTTTTTTTTTTAAGATTTTTATTGGGGAATTGGGGGATGGGAACAGCGCTGGGGAATT